CTAGAGGGCAAGTCTCTAATAGCACCCTCACTGGCCCTGAAATCATAAGGGAAACCACAGAAAAGATCGTTCAAATTCGAGAAAGACTGAAAGCGTCTCGCGATCGGCAAAAGAGTTACGCAGACAAACGTCGCAAACCCTTGGAATTCCAGGTGGGTGATCGTATACTACTAAAAGTTTCCCCTTGGAAAGGAATGATACGATTCGGCAAACGCGGGAAACTAAATCCAAGGTACATCGGGCCATTCGAAATCCTTGCTAGGATTGGGCCAGTAGCATACAAACTTCGATTACCTCAGGAACTCGACAAAGTACATCCCACATTTCACGTGTCGAACCTAAAGAAGTGTTTGTCTGATGAGACACTCGTAATACCACTCGACAAAATCGAAGTTAACGAAAATCTCCACTTCGTGGAGGAACCAGTCGAAATCATGGATCGGGAAATCAAACGAACGAAACAAAGTCGTATTCCTATCGTGAAGGTCTGTTGGAACGCTAAACGAGGACCCGAATTCACCTGGGAACGCGAGGATCAGATGAAACAAAAGTATCCACATCTCTTCCCAAACTCTTGAAATCCCAGTCAAAATGAAAATTTCGGGACGAAATTCCTTCTAACGGGGGGATGATGTGACAATCGTCAAATTTCGGTCAAGTCAAAGTCAAACAAAGTCAACAAGTCAAACCGGTCAACTGCAATAACCCTTGTATGTTAGGGTTTACATTATGTAATCACTATACAATTCGCTATTTTAATGAGAAATCATCATTTGGAAAGTTCATGTGTTTGATTTTCCTTAGCCTTAACAGTGTTAAACAACGAACCAAAGCGATAAAACACTATTGCACAATCATCGGGATTGTGTACGACACTAAAACACGGTTTAACGGGGTTTACGAACCTTGCGTTGTGAAGCCGGACACTCAAATTAATCACAAACGAAACCTCTCTAAATCGTTTTCACTCTATCTCTTTCTATTTGAAATCTCTCCCAAATCTCTCTCAAAAGTTACTTTAACTTTTTGTAATCATTTGGGTCATATCGACCCTTAACCGGGTCAAAATCGCTTGAAACGGGGTAAAAACGGGTAAAATAGCCTTAAGGACCTGGAACTGAAGCTTCAGGACCGAAGCCTCTCATCCGAGGCCACAGATCCGAAGCCTCTCATCAGGACCGAAGTTGAAGCCTCTCAGGAGACCGAATCCGAAGCCATCAGACAGCAGCCTCGCATGCGAGGGTCCGAATCCGGCCTCCATGCGAGAGGTCTCGTAGACAGCCTATTTTTACCGGTTTTTCGACTACGATTTCGTTTTAACTCCGTTTTTCATTATTTTAACGTGGGATTTTCACCCAAAACTTTATTTTATAAACTAAGGCCCCAAAATATATAAATCCCCAGGGTTTTTATAAAAATATATTAAAAGAATTAGTGGTTGAACTAATTATTGAGGGAATATTTGTTTTTCCTTAATTTATGGCAAAAGCAAACCACCACCACCTCACTTTATGATCAGCCACTCTTTCCCACTACTCCTTGTCACCTTAGTGGACCTTTACACCCAATCTCCAGCTCTTCCCACGTTCTAAGAGCTGGAGGATTGATCCTCTCTCCTCATTCTCCATAAAGTCCTTTCATTCTACACTTAACAACCAAAGAACACTCTCCAAAATTCTCTCATCTTTTCTCTCAACTTCAAGGCTTTCTCCAGGGATTTCTTTCTTCAATTAGTAAGTATCTTCATCATTCATATAATTATTACACTCCATTATACTCAAATCAATGATATCTTACACAAATTCCATCTTATTCGGTGTTAGATTCTCGAATCATCAAGACATCTTCTTAGTGTTCTTGGGTTGAATACTTCCTCTCTCTCACTTTCATCTACTGAAACCACATAAGGTGAGTTCATACCCCTACATTTACAGCTTTTTCTTAAGTTTTAAGGGGGGAATACAAGTAAAATCATCAAGAACACAATTAAACTTTTTCTATCAGATTACATCAGAAAAGATGAACTTCGATCACGGACTATTTTGGTTAATTTAAATATTTTAGTTTTCAAAACTGTTCCAGGTGCAAGTAGTTCAAACTCTTAGCTTTAAAATGGCTACTTGCACATCTCCATATGATTTTTCTACAATTTATGGTGATTTTTACAAAACTGCCTATCATTTCAGAGGCAAACCCGGACCAGTCTGTGATTATGAACATTTTCACCTCTGTTAGAGATCACTAAAAATCATGATAAAATTTACGAACAAACTAGACTCATATTCCAAACTCTCAGAATTTTCGGATTTGGATTTAGAGCTTTGATGATTTTTCTATAAATTTTCTAAGAACAGTAACAGAAACTGTATTCAACGAAAAGTTGCTGTCAATTTCATTTCACCTTGTAACATGTTGAGCAAGGTGTATATCTTTATGTGATTATATGTTATTGCAATATATGACATTTTATCTTAATATTTAGACACACATCAGTTTACAAATGGATTTGGACATATAAAATATAAATAATAACAAGTGATTATAATCAAAGTACAACTGATACATTCAAACATTTAATAAACTATTTTGAATATAGTTTGCATACATTACTACGTACTACCCTTGGTTGATAAACTATAATAGGTATAGTTTATGATACATTACATAACACATACATTTAAAAAGGGTACATTTATACAAAGGATATTTTCATTAAGCAAGGTACGGCCATACGGTACCAAGTTTTCATAATATGTAATTCCGTTAATGACTTTGTGAGACATTTACTTCAAATTACCATTAAGTCTTGTATTGTAACCAGAGTCTCCTTGAGGGAGAGCGTGATAGTTGTGTATAGATCTATATTGGGTTTGACAAACCCACACTAAACTGCATGCAACAGTTAGACCGATAGGTCTGGGGTGACAAATGTCATAACATTTCCGACGCCCGAAGAACGTCGTTTTAGGCAACCTTGGTCATAGCATGGTTATAATAAACTCACACAAAGTATTAATAAATATTGGAATTTACGGGAACTTCATTAAAATTAAACGAGTTTATGTCGATTTAAACTTACATTATTTATTATAAGTAAGAAAAGTTACTTATACATTTCGGTCTTTGAATTTAAGACTACATATACATTTTAAGGAAAATATTGGATTTTCTAAAACAAATACTACTTTTACAAACGAAAGGCTTTTAATAATATCAAACAAAAGCTTATGAACTCACCAACCTTTGTGTTGACACTTTTCCAAACAACTTGTATTCTCAGGAAATCATTAAACATGTAACCAAGTGCTTTTGAGGATGGGACGCTAAGGCGTCTACTATTTCATATTTTGTCAACATATTGTAATTGATTCGTAAACATGTAATTCATACAATGATGTAACTTTTTCAATTATATATATGTTGGTTGTGTTTGCTTGAATTACTATTACAATTGTTGTTATGATACTATACATGAAGTCCTCCACCCCCGGACGTTTCCGTCATCCTTGGTTTGGGGGTGTGACAGTAACTATGTGATTACTTAGTATATACATCAGGTGATATGAAATTAACATCCGACATGCAGTGGGATGTGTGACTTCCACCTCATTTCGTATTCCTTGTTTGGTTGTGGGTTTAGGGCAAAATCACCCAATCGACTGTCTGTTCGATCAAGATTTCTATAACTCGTATGTACTAAGTGATCATAGGAGGGTATTAACATCACTTCCAGTTTACAGAACAAACACGTTTTATTTAATAATAAAGCTACACTTTAACAACTTAAGTATGGGAAAATACTTGTACTTTACAGTTTTGGAACACTTAAGAAAACAACTCACTTTTATGGAAAATATAGGATTTTTCAGGACAAACATCAGTATTTTACAAGCAAACGGTATACCATTCAACTAACGAACAATCATTGTTAATTAAATAATTCCTTAGTTTATACATCAAGGTTATGTATGAAGAATATCTGATAGGCAGTGGAATGTGTGGTTTCCGCCTTATTTTCTGTTCCTTGTTTGGTTGTGGGCTTAGGGCTGGTCCATACAATCAACTGTCCGTTCGATCTTGGTTTATATATAACTAGTATAAACTAAGTGGTCATAGAAGAAACTGGTATTATCATATTTCTTACTAAGAAAATATAGGATTTTCTGAAGGAACATATTCATCACATCTTAAAGGACCAATACAGTTAACTCTGTAAGTACTCAGTGAATATGTATATACAGTGAGAATCCGACATGCAGTGGAATATGTGGCTTTCCGCCTCATTTCCTGTTCCTTGTTTGGTTGTGGGCTTGGGGCAGAACCACACAATCAATTGTCTGTTCGATCTAGATCATATATAACTTGTATACACTAAGTACTCGTAGAAGGAACTGGTACGAGTCATTTTACTTATCATTTATTACATCAGAAAATATAGGATTTTCTGGAGAAACACATCATGTTTTATAAAGGACAAAGAACCTGTTTTCTAAAACAAAACGCTTATGAACTCACCAACTTTAATGTTGACACTTTCAAAACCACTTGTACTCTCAGGACACTAGTAGACAGGTACATGCACAAGTTCCTAGAAGGCAGAGCATAGTAGCTTCAAGTCTTTAATTTGCTATTTACTTTTGGAATCAATCTTATATGATTCGAATACAATGTAAACATTTAATATCAATTCAATGGTTGTTGTTGCTTTGATTACTATTATGCAATTGTTGTGATACTGTACATGACGTCCTCCGCCCCCGAACGTTTCCGCCGTTCCGGTTTGCGGGAGTGACAGGTTGTGGAAATTGAATGGATATTGTTGTGCTCATTCTGTAGCAAGCATATCTTATCTTAATAGAGATATAGAAGCTTATATAGACAACATGTATAGTACCACCACGTTTAGAAAGGCCTACAGTTACAGGATTGTTGTCATGAATAGGACTGACATGTGACCAGAGACAAATTATACACCACCATTGTCTCCTATTAGTAGAAGAATGCATGGTAAGCCTGCAACTAAGAGGAAGAAATCTAGTACAGAAAATAAAGGAAAACACAAGGTCTCTAAGGCTGGAAAGAAGGTCAAGTGCAATATATGCAAGGTGATAGGTCACAACAAGGCTACTTGTCCAGAGAGAAGACCTCAAAAGTTAAATGTGAAGAGACAGAAGAAACAGAAAGTTAGTGTCAAGCAAAATGCAGGAGAGGTAAAACCATTTCAAAATTAAATATAGTTACATTTGATTTGTCACTTACATTATTATATCATGTCTTGTAGGGTACTAGTAATGAAGGTCAACAACATGAGGAGGTTCAAATGACTCCAATTGAGGTGGAAACTACTCAAAATGATTTTTAAGTTGATCTTAATGATGTTCAATCAAGTCCTAGTGGTGCACATGATTATGCTTATATGTAACTTACTCCACCTAGAGGTGAGGATGATGTTGAGTGTGTGGCTAATGTTCAAGTGCATGAGGTTCTTGATGATGTTCAAGTGCATGAGGGTGTAGCTAATGTTCAAGTGCAGGAGGTTGTGGCTAATGTTCAAGTGCAGGAGGTTGTAGCTAATGTTCATCATAATAGAGTAAGACCAATTTCAGAAATTTTGAAGAGGATAAGGAGAAGGAAGTCAGAGAGAATGTTGAAGCTAAAATTAGGAAAGAAAATCGGTGGTTGTGATGATGTAGTATATTCTAAGGGAAAAGCTCTTGTTATTGATTAGTGTGCACTATTAGTTGTTATTTAGATTTATGTTTGTTTATTAGGATGATGGTGAATTTTTTGTTTTGATTGTTGTTTGAATTTATGCTTATTAAGTTGAAATGATGGTAAAAGGGCATATTTGTCATTTTGAAAGTATATTGTTATTTGGATGAATGAAAGTATGTTGTTTGGATTGCTATTTTGGATGAATGAAAGTATGTTGCCTATTTTGACTATTAAACAATTTGTCAAAAAAGTCCCTAGTAATATATGCATGCATGTACTTTGCATGGAAATTAAGTGCGATAATATATCCATGCACATGAAGGAGTAACATGGTGTCGGTTGTGTAATATATAATGGGTATTGTGGACCAAAGTATTTAGAAATAAGTGCAAGTGGTCCACAATTGTCCTGTGATGCACACACTTTGTGTTGCAAATGGTCCACTATGAACTAAAGTAATATATACAAACATGCACTGGAAAGTATAGTCATATAGACAAACATGCACTTTTTCCATTAAAGTAACATTCCACATTCCCTGAATATTCCAATTACAGCTAAAATTCACTTTTCCTATTATAGAAACATTCATATATTATAATTAAAAAAGACTCCCATGAGTCTTACAGTTGTCATGGGGACTTTACAAAAGATACAAAATGCAGCTACATTCCAATTTAGTCTGACTTTACAAAAGATACAAACAAGCTTCACATCCCACTACATACACCATACCCTTATAGATACACCAAAAGCCCCCACCCGACATTCTAACTACTTAGATAAATTAAAAACACAAAACACCAATCCAAGAACTAGAAATGCAACCACCATCTTGTACCTACGTATTGTCATCTTGGAATCAGACAACTCCTTCTAAATGATTCCCACCACACTCTTCTCCTTAGACAGGAAAAACTCCAATTCAACAATCATATTCCTCAACTTGTTGATCACACCAAGATCCTCTTTAGCATCCAACGTCTGCTTTAAAGAATAAAATAGGTTTTTATAGTATCCCTCTTCCTGTTGTTCATCTTTCCATTCAAAATAGTCACATTTCTTCAGGTTAGTCTGTAAGCAATCCACATGAAGACAAGTTCAGACAATAAGATCAAAATGAAATGTAATCACCAAATGCACTTTAACAGCCTTCATTAGCACGATAATGCATATGTTTTCAGGACATTAAAAAAACAAATGCACCAAATGCACCAAATGTAATCACCAAAATGTAATAAATCACCAAAAATGCTTAAGAAATCACGACACCAAACCAAAGTCAGTAGACAATATCAACAACATATTTAAGGTAAATTTAGGGTTTTTTTCAAAATATAAGGGTTTTTTATGGTGAAACCCAAAAAATTCTTGCATTAACGAATCGAGGTACATCAGAGCTTACCATATTGTTTCGGCAATTCCAAAAACGCCTTCCAGGGTTAGTGAGTTTCCAACAAGTTCGTTCCTTAGCTGGAACATCGCAATCGCATTTCGGCACACCGTATCGAACAGGGATACGAGCAACTTTGAGCCGATTCCTTGCAATGGACGAGATCGAAGACATTGATTTTAAAGAACGCAGCAGTCGGATTAAGAAAAAGAATGTTCTTGATTTGAATTTTCACGAATGGGTAAGAAAGAAGTAAAGGTGGTCCAAATCAGGGTTTCAACTAATATGGTTGGTGGGCAGATAGATCGTCATCGCCACGTCAGTATTCCACATTGGATTTACATGTAAGCATTCAACCGGGAAACAGATTAAAATCGGGGAAAATGACTAAATTGAAAGGTCAAATACAAGTTTTGTGGTCTAATGTGCAAAAAAAAAAGTTTAGTGACCAAATCGGACAAATGTCAAAACTTTAATTCGTTACAGTATCATTTTCCTTTATATTATAAGTAACAGGAAGAGGGAGAACTATCTCTAGTCTCTACCTGTTGAGAAAGTACCTAACCTTATCTCTTTTAATTAATAATATTTTACATGTACTCAGTTTACATGGAAATATCTCTTGTAATTAATAATATCACTTCCCTTTACAATATGCTTGGTACAAATTAACTACATCACTTCTTTGTTTCATTATTTGATTTGTTTTTTTACCAGCAAATATAATCTTAAATTATTCCGAAATCCAAGTACTCCTGATAATGAATAGGTTTATTCGGGTCTCTGATCCACTTCGAAGAATTATAGTACGACTAAGATCTTTCTCATTTGTTTTTGACCAAGAGAGAAAATACAAAGTATATCTATCATGAAAACAAATTTGCAAAACTAGATGACTGTGTACATCAATCAAGCCTTCACGCATTAATCAAAATGCATGCTAAAATCCGTAGCACCCATTCAAAAGCATTCTTGAGTTGTGTAATTAAGGTGATTCATTTCTAAGTTTCTCAAAATAGTTTCTCAACAACTTCGTCGTAATTGGTATCATGAATTGCAGACACAAATTGATGCCCATAAAAGTAAATGCTACCAGATTATTCGGGCTAATTGCGCTCATGCAAATGCTGTAGGTTGTAGCGAGTGCAAACATTGAAATCTGCAGTTCCAACCGCAAAGGGAAAGCTGCCGTGAGTACGTAAATCATGTACATCGATGTGTGGAACCCGATGGAATTAGCAAACAGAAATATACAGTAGGCTACCGGGTTATGGGTACCCATAATAGCTCTTCCAGCAGTATGTGATTTATTAGCAGTAGTGTTATTTGTCGCACATGATAAGGTAATATTTCCTGCGGATGGATAGGAATCATCCTGCCAAATGCCTCCTGGAGGATTAAGTGTAGGCTGATAGGTTGCAGTCGTAATAAGTATAATTATCACTAGCAAGGTATTTCTTACTATGCTAGGGGAGTCTTTAAGGTTATTGTACTTGAAGTAGTCTAACAAGTTTCTAGCTGGAGATCGATTGTTTTCAGGTCTTGTATGAGTATGATGTCTTTCTTCCCATGCATATGCTACAGATCGTAGAATTTCTCCTTTTATTGCTCCAGATCGAACCATAATCTCTTCGAGCTCTCGATCACCGGCTTCACTATGAAATATTAGCAGCATATCAAGAGGAGTCAAACCGCTCTTGTTTAAGGAATTTAACTCCATCTTTTCTTTGCTAGTAACTTGCCCATTTAGTAGAAAGTCAACGACCTATGAAAAACATGACGTTATGCAAAATATGTTCAAGTAGAATATATAAAGGGTTTATACCATCGTGCCTCTCTACCCAAGTGGTTGAGGGTTTAACATCTGGGACAGGTGTAATTTACTTATTTAGGAATAGATTAAAGAATTTGTATCTGTTAAAAAGAAAGTAAGATTATATGCAAAAACCGACTCACCTCATATTGCTTCCTGGACACGGCATGGTGCAAGACCGTATTCCCGTGAATATCCTTAAAGTTCAGAAGATTTTCCTTGTTGACTTGCTTCAGATGCTCTACCAAGACTTGAAGAACTTCGATTTGGTTATTCTTCACCGCTAGATGTAGGGAAGTCTCACCTTGCGCAGTAGTGCATTCAACAGAATCCACACTTGCCAAAAGCAAATCTCTAACAACTCCAACGTTACCTTTGATCACAGCCAAATGAAGAGGAATTCTTCTGTCTTTTCCTTTCATCCAACACAAACTGAGGTCAACGGTGAGAAGCTCCTTCACAATATCAGCATGCCCACAGGCTGCTGCAATGTGCAAAGGGCAATAACCCTCTAGGTTAAGCTCCCTCAAAGATTTTTGCCTAAGTTTGACAACTGTAGCAACGAAGTTCAGATGTCCTGCCAAACAAGCAATGTGTAATGGAGTTTCCCCACCCTCCAGTGACATGACATGAAGAATAGATGGATTGGTGTCGATCTCTCTAAGCAGATGATCAACATCTCCATTCCAGGCTGCTTGAAATAGCCTCCGATCCATATGCTCTCTAGCTAGTGACCGAAATCTGGCCACATTGACAAGTATAGGTTCAGGATGGGTTCTTTTTATAAGGGAAGGGGTATACCAGGTGTCGGGCTTTTGGATGAGTGATCAATGGGAGTAAGTTACAAGGAAACATCAAGGTTTAATAAATTTGTAGTGATGAGGTCAGGCTTAAAAAATATTCAAATGTTATATCCATAATAATAGCGTCCTTCTGATATAAATATTGCAAAATGATTATAAAATTGACTTTACTGGTGAACTCTTGAGGATCAATCATATTCAGATGTTTATATATCTGTAAAGAATAGCAATACAAATTTTTCTTTTTTTGATATAAATATTGTGACATTATAATTTTGATAATTATATTATAACTTATAATTAAGTTTGATCACTTAGGACAAACAATCTTTCTAAAAAAGAAAAATCTCGTAATATAGTTCAAGTAATCATTAAACTGTGTGAATGAGACGACTCTTTGGCATAGGAGGTTTATGAGAGCACGCAATTATAATTTAATAGACATGTCACTTTGTTTCGATAAATATGTTGTAACGAGGGAAGTACCATAGAATTATTAATTCTAGAAAAGACTGCAAACCCTTCTTTTTCAAATCTTATTTGATATTTTGGCGAATACTATATATACAGATAACAAACGCTTGAAATTTTACTTATTCAAATGATTTATCAATATGTTATTCTGATAATTCTTATATAGATATTAAAGGATGACCATTCTTAGGAACATTACCTAACCAGGGTACTGTTCAGGGTCGGTCCTGAGGATTCAAATGCTCAGGAAGAGCCGTAAAAAAAGGCCCTTAGGCCCTAAGGGGTGACGAATTAAATTATATAAACTAGAGTTCTATTTTTCTCATGTGAAAGTGTGAATCATAAGTTATTTAAAGCAGCAAACTTATCTTCAAATCACAAGGTGGTCGTCAGAGTTTTCTTGGTGCATCCTCTGGTGGTGTGTCTCCTGACGTGGTCGAAAAGCAAGGATAGAGATTGGAATTAGAGGGGCTGCAACTAAAACTACAAAATAAAAATCATATAAAAAACTTTATTTTGTTCAAAGTTATGAAATATAAAAAGCTCTTATGGTTTTTTTTTTTTTTGTTTATTAATCCATTTTCTAACAATTACCACTAGTTTATGAATCTAAATTAACAACTATGACTCTTAATTGATTTTCTTATCATTTCCTTTCAGAAGCAAACTTGTATACTAATCTAATTATAACTATATGTCACTTCAAATATGACAATTAAATAATAAAACAAAGTGTAAATAGAAAATTAAATGAATGAACAAATAAACGGTTTACATATTTATTGATATTATTAAACAATTTAGTAACAAATACATATCCATTTATATGCTATGCAATAGGCAATTAGGCATCTATGTAAAAAAGTAACAGCTAGAATGTACTCTGAAGTGCATAGGAAATAGTTCTCTAATATAAAAAACAATCTAAAAGGCCTAAAATGTACTAGACCTAACTGGGTACTCTTCCTTATGATATATGTCATATTGCCAAAAATTAAACCCAGAAGCCTCTCACAAGAGAAGGATCACGATGCAAAAAAGAGGGAAAAGAACATGTCTTTGGACTTACAAGTGACTGAGGATGCAAAGGTGAATGGTGTGGAAGGGAGCTATTAGGTGTTCAGGTGGTCGGAGACGTTTGCTCGAGCGGTGACATGGTTCAGCGACTTGGAAGAGGCTGAGAACGTAGATGACACTTAGAGGAAACTGACAATGACGGAGACGACGGGAATGAGAAGACGAGAATACGCTGAGGTTAAGAGATTCAAGTTTTCTGTTATAATTTTGAGACATTTTAGCTTTTTTTTTTCTTCCATTTTTGTTTTATGGCTTTTAAATCGTTCAAAATTGAAATTCTGTTTAGTAGATCACGTTATCTTCCACTTAATGTTTATTGGTATTTTTAAAAATTCTACTTTTTTATTTTTTTATTTTGTGATTTCACAATTCTTTTCAAGTTCTTAATTTTTCTTCAACAATTTCGCCATTATCCAAAAGTCTTCATTCCTTCATCAAATTCTATAATATACAAAAAAAAAAAAAAAAAATGGGCCCCTAAAGTTTTTGGGCCCTGTTCAAATGCCCAGCTTGCCCCTGCCCTACACCGGCCATGGTATTGTTCTTCGGGTTCACTTCCTCAACCATGGTAACCACCCCCACCTCATCCGGTTTAACCCACCGCCTCCTCTCGATCCTTCCTCATTCCACTATCCCAGAAACCCACCGCCTCATAACCCTCTGTGAGTTTCCTCTTCTACCACCTCCTTCCTCCGCTCAAGAAATCTCCATTTAACGTCTGTTGCCGCTCCCGAGCATCGTCGTCTGAGGTTTTGCTATGTCTAACTTTCACAGACTCGCCTACCACTTATCTGTGTCTTCTCGTCCCACCCACCGACTCATCGTTCTTCAACATCAAACGAACCCGTCACCACCTCCAATTGCTTCCCTTCTCTCTGCCGACATCGACCTAGGTGCAGACCAATATCGAGAAACAGAGTCGTTCGACGATGCCGACTCATCCATCACTTCATGTTGTCTCTTACCCGCACCTCGCCTGCTTTCCACCGCCACCACAATTCTTGATTTCACGTTTCCTTTAGATTTATGAAGGACCTACATCGCTACTTCTTCAGGATTCGGAAATCGTCCGACATCGATTGCACTGCAAACCTCGACTACATGTGAGATAAAATGAGAATGGAGGAGGACGATTGCAGAGAAGCATCAATGTTGGGTTAGTTTGATTCCTATGATTATCTACAGGAAATAATTATATCATATTTATATGTTATTTCACTTATATTCTTTTATGCTCTTTGATTTAGGAGTCAGAAAGTTTTATTTGCATTACCATGGTCAAGATTCAAGTCAACAGGATATAACATATGTTTCTGTTATTCTACTCTTCTGTTTAGAAATCGATACCCTTATGTTTTTCCTGGAAACTATCGGAAGTCGATTACAAGAATTGGAATCCTATTACATGGGTTAGCAAAATCAGGTCAGATCTTTGTTCTCATCTCTTTTGTCAAGCTTCACCCGCCAGTTCTTCCGCAAGGTATCATCAAAATAACATCGCTTCCTCGATCTAAGATTTCATGGAATTTCTACTGCATCGTTTTGCTCTTTCGTCTATCTACATCCATTTTACTGATCTTAATTTTGTTAATTGTGACGGGGCGTTTTGTCACATCCCCGAACCAGACGGCGAAAAACGTCTGGGGGCTTGTGCGTGACTTCATCTTGTAATATCATCACAATGTATATAATTGAAACAAGACAATACCATCATCATATATATCAAAATACAACCAGCATTGTTTACATCAAGTATAGTATCATAGTTACATGCCAAAATATTCAATGTATGATGATAACAAAATATAACAAATTTCACATCTCCTGCTGACCTTTCCGCTTAACGATTTCCAGAGAATACAAATTATTTTGAAAACGTCAACATATATAATGTTGGTGAGTTCATAAGCATGTTTGAATGAAAAAGTTTTGTATTGTTCGTAAAACACTAGAAAATCCGATATTTTATGTATAATAGTTTGAAAGTAATGTGTCGAAATCAAGTACTAATGCATGTGTGTTTTCTGTTTTTGGAATGTATATAAAATGTAGTCCGAATAAAAATCTTGTATTTTCTGTTGTAAGTAAAAGGCATCGTTTAGCTGTGTATTTCCCCAGAAAATCCTATATTTTCTGTTTATAAAAGTGTTGTGGTCTCAACCCTAAGACCGAGTATCAGTGTATGTATATTTTTGTATCAACAACATTTTATAAGTGTTTCATAAAATTATGTTGGAGTGGATCTCTAGGTGAGCCGTTTTAACCATACTTGATTATGACGAATTCGTCTGTCGTGGCGTTCTTAGGCGCCGGCTTGATTTACGGTAACGTTTGTCACCCTAGACTGGCCTAGTCTAACTGTAGCAAACAGCTCAGGTGTGGGGTGTCACCCCGTATAGATATATACACAAACTCTCGTTCTCCCTCCAGGAGACTCTGGTTATAACTACAGGCTACGATTGTACACTCTAGAGGTGTCAACCGACATGTCTCACTGGCATCATTGACTGAGTTTACGCGAATATTGTATTATGTTATATAATGTTTGCTTGTATGTTTTATGTTTGAAAAGCCCAATGAGTATGTATATGAATGTACGAGGCCCAACAGACATGTAGAAGGACCACTAAGGCCCAGTAAACATGTAATGTATAGTTTAGGTCCAATAAGCATGTATATGGGCCACTAAGGCCCAATAAACATATAATGTATAATCCAGGCCCAATAAGCATGTAAATGGGCCACAGAGGCCCAATTGTAAGGGTCGAATTGTTGTAATTAGTCGAAGTATATTTTGTACTCTTTGAATGTTTTGTAATGTATTTTACTAGGGCGCTTTTATTCGAAGCTTTAGAGTCAATGCCTTAGTATATTTTTTGTACGCTTTCGGTTCCCTATAAATAGGGGTTATTTACTAGAGTTCGAAAAGAGCTTTTTACAGACCTGTCTATGTTCTCTGTAAACATTCGAAAGCGTAAATCAAGCTGAACAATATCATATTTACATCTGGTGTTCAATCTTGCATTCATACTCTGATTAATTCAATACTCGATTCATTGATTCTTCAATTGGTATCAGAGCAGGAATCATATCTCTGATCTGATTTTCACGCTGTTCAAAATGTTTTTTGAATCAACTTTTTGATTCAAAAGTTTCCGCATTTTTTGAAAGTGAAAAATTGTCTAGATCTTAGTCTGTGATTCGATTCTGCATTTGAATTGTTGAATCGAGTGTTATTCTCATCAATTCAATTTGATTCATCTAGTTTGTTTTCAAATTCTCAAATCTTTTCAAACTTCTCAAAATCATCTTCCGTACAACAATGGCGAGTTTCAATCTCAATTCGATGACCTCGTTTTCTCATTTGTTAGGTTCATCAACCAAAATTCCA